TCTTACGAACAAGTACAGCCTTTCTGGTATTGCCTGTGCAGAAGGCAGGGACTCAGCAGCAGAAACTGCTTGTGCTTAAAGATCCTCATTAAATATCACATAAAGTATTAAATAAGTATCAATAAAGTCTTAAATAAAATAATTTCTGCCCCAAAACAACTCCGACTTCGAGAACATGATTCAAATTATATTTCAGCATTCAGCCAGTGGGACAGACCCACCACTGGGTGAGAAAGAGTATAATGCAAAGAAGTATGAGAAGGACACTGGAAAACAACATTTAAACCACTTATGCTCCAAAGAAGCAGGTCAGGTCTTTGGGACAGGCGTTGTGCATCATTTAAAGGGCCCCTTCAGAAGGTTTACTGATTGAGAACAGAGACTCTTAACGTTCACGGAGCAGGATGCTTAGGGGAGGCCGCGGGGTTGGCAATGAAAGGAAGAGGAGAAGGCTCACGATCACCTAGTTTGTAAATCAAGGACAAATCAAACGCAGCGAGCTTCAGCAGCTGTGCCAATTAAATCTCATTCAATTTGCTGAACAAGAACGTTAACATTAATCACTTTGGCAAATTCCTCAGCATATTCCGTGTCACTGAGTAGTCAAGTGATTCTGTGCTTGTTTATGGTGCAGAATAACATTATATGAAGCAATGCCATTAATCACTGTGAGGCGTAACCGTAAGACAAAAAGAAGTGTTACTGGTTAAACGTGTTGATCTTCACAGTGGTGCAGGAAATGTGTTACTTTATGGTGTTATTAAGAAATACTGAGCCCATGGGGCTTCTTTTTCATGTTTTCTCTCTTCTGCCAGTGCTGCCCTTAACCGAGGGCTTTTCCATCCCGAAGAGAAACGCTCTTCTCCTGCATCCCAGCGGCCAAACGGCCTTAAACTTCCCTTGGCAAAGGAGCATCACAGACACCAGGAGAGCACCAGGGCAGCATCTCCTCCAGCATCAGCATGTGTGAGTCCCGCTGTCCGACTCCAGAGGACATAAAGTAAATCCAGTGTTTGTATTTGCTGTCATTAAAGAGATGGGGAAAAAGAGGCAAGCGGAGGGATAAAGCTGACAAAACCATGACAAACCCAGACAGGTTTCATTAGTCCAGTTTTTATTCAAATTAAAGAATGGGGAACTACAACATGATTTCCTTTGCTAATATAAATACATCAGTGGAGACTGGTTCTCGAGTCATTCGTCGCACTGGACAAGAGAGCTGTCACAAGAATTGCTTTGCAGAGTCCTTGGTCCTTCACACTCATGCAAAAAAGTCTTTAATTAAGAAAATAAGCTTAAAACAGTCAATTCATTGTGTTATAGTGTCAGGAACCAAACCCACCGAGTCTGCTTTACAGGAGCAAAGATTTCACACCTAGGTAAATCATTTCACAATCATCCATTACCCTCCAGAGGGTTCCATACAGAAAATATACAAATAAAAACTCTCCATATTTATTGTCATTGTAGAGGAAAATAATTTATAGACCCATAAACAAAGATAAAGGCAGAGAAAAAGAGTGAATTAACTTATTTCCAGCCTATCCTGTCAAGCACACACCCAAACACTGTAGCTTTGAGCAACAACTTATGCTCATGTGAATGTGATTTGGGGGCATGATGTTAAGCTAATGGGGCAACTGCTTTTGATACAGTTTGTTAGTAACAGATCCCAAAGGTTAAAAAGAGCTGTATTTATCTGTTGAACCATCATGTTAGCTTGACGAACATCACACCTCACTGGGTATTAAACAGTTTGGTCTCCAAACACTGCGAACGAGAGAACAGGACTAAGCTTTCATGGTGGTGTCATGCAAATGCTGCCAAGTGTATTTATGGTAATTACAGTGCTGTACACAACTGGACAAAAAAAGGATTTGGCTAAACTGAAGGAACCGAAAATTGGTTTTAATCACCCCCAATTTATCTATTAGGCACAAATGGAAAAGATGGACTTGATTCAAAGTTGTTTAAGCAGATTGCTTGAGGCAAATCTGTCCTGCTTTAATACACAAGGCTGTTCTGCAAACCAGCGGTGTGCATCCCCTCATGGATGCTGTTGGTTTTGTGGGTGCACATCCCTGGGGATGCTTTCTCCTCGAGCAAAGTCACCTTTGGGAAAACCAAGGCTGGGATCCCACAGGGGATCAGCACATGGTGATCCCCAAAAAGAGCCAACAACAGGAGAGAGCTGAGGAAAGCCTTCATATTCACAAAGGACCATTGAGGGGAAGGAGCCTGAGCTTGGTTTGTAAAGCTTTTACAACACCTCCTGCAATAGTTACACTGGTTTTGGCACCCTGGGGCAGGGGTTGCACAATCACTGTTGTGTGCGTGGCATCCTCCATCCTCCAGCAGCACCATGCTGGAGCTGAGAAACCTAAACCACCAAAAGACAGCTTGTCTACCAAGCTGACCAGGAAACAAATCACATGGCACAAGAACATTAAATCAGAGCATTGAAATGGTGGTAAAATAACTGATAACCTAAGAGCTTATAGGTGGCTGAGGTAATGGAGTTCAATTTATCCTACAATGTCAAGCCCAATGCTGTCCCAAACAGAGCTATCCCAGATCTTAGTTACAACATGTGAAAACAGATTCATACCTCCATCACGTTCAGCAAAAACTGCACTGGGTGTAAGAACGGGATCCAGGATTGAACGGAAGCGTCGTTGATGACCATAAAAAGCAATCAAAAAGTTATTTCAAATTGTCTTATAAAAATATTTACAGTGAGATTTGTTATCACTAATGCTGCGTTTTCAGTCCTAGAAAAAGGCAATCTGTAAAGGAGCTGGCTCAGGTGCTCAGAAGTAACAATACAAACATGAAACCACACGCCAAAGACAGACAAAAAGCATCTCAAGGATGGGGGGGGGATACAGCTGGTTCATCACAAGTTATGGTTGTTCATATTGCATAGCTGGAAAACGAGGTCACTTGACTTGCATAACACTGCAACATTTGTGAAGGAGAGGAAGAAACGTGTCATTTGCCATCAAGAACTAGCTGCAGCCAGGAACAGCCTCATTCATCCTTAGCAAGGGCTCTGAGCCCAGCCCTGTCCAGCAAGCCACAGGTCTAGGCCAGCAATGGGCAGAAAATGCCATTTTACAGTAGCAGAAAAACACTAAAATCCTTTTTCCTTATAGGCAAGGAAGGCTCACAAAGAGATGTATAGCAGGGGGAAATTATCCAGCCTTCAGCAGCATATCCACCTTTCACACCTGACAAATAGGGCAGATTTCAAACTTGCATCTCTCTAGTACTAACCACAAGCTTTTATCTCTTTGTCTCTGGATATTTGCCCTTGCTCCGGTGATGCCACAACTGTGAGAAGGTTACCTGCTAACTTCCAAACTACTGAGCTGCAGTTGGGCTATAGAACAGCTATTCAGCTTTATATTCCCTATAGGAGGGCCATGTGTGCCCAAATGCCTGGCCGCCCTCCACCCTTGTCATGTCAGACTAAGAGAGGCTAACTCTGACCAAAACATTTTGCCTGTCTCATTTTAGCCTCTATTCCAATGGGCTGCATGAAATGGAAACACCTTTTGGTGCTCGCTTTTGGGGCAGTGAATTTGAGTCAGCCCTAAAACAAGGCATCGCCTTGCTTATGTCACTGTAAAGATGCATCTCAGACTCCAACCTGAAGGCAGCTGCAGTCAGGGCCACGTTCCTACCAGCCTCAACAGCTTTCAGAGCAAGCTACACCTGGTAAAAGAGCAGCATGTCACACTCCTGCTTTGGCACATTCCACTGCAGAGTGTAGAACCTAAAGCAAAATGTAAAGGGTATTACAGAAGAGACTAATTTTCTTTAATTATTATTATTATTATTTTCAAGACCTTGAGCTGACATACAACGGAAGGGAAGACATCAAGAATAATACTGCCATTTCTTTGGACAGTTCGCTTTTGTTTGTAACAAGAGCATCCAAAGAGGAGTGGATGGATGATACCTAATGCTCCCCATGAAGGTCAGCCCCCTCTGTGGGAGCTGACACAGCAAAGCAGGTGCTGTTTCCTCCACAGGCACCCATCTTACAAGGACCATGGCAACTAAAAGTGTATTTATTTACAGAAGTAACCCACTCCTCTGCAAAAGCTGCACAAGGTGATTGCAGCCTCAGTTCCCTCCGAAATAAATCAGTATTATTCTCTTTTCCTGTAGAAAGCCACATGGAATCTTGCTGATAGCAGATCTATGGAGAAAGAAACCAGCAGATCGCCACTGGGAGGTGCTGGGGCTCAGCACTAACAGGGAGAGATTTGGTCCTGCAGGCCAGCTGCCCACTGCAAGCCTCAGCTGAAAACAAAAGAACAACAAGAAAAGAGCAGAGAAAATATCCATTAGGTCCCTTTGGCTGGGGAGTCTTTTGAGAGTCCACCCCTGTTTGCTGAAGCATGCCCGAGTTCACAAGATGACACAGAAAGGTATGTTAAAGTCAAATATCTGAAACAGAAAGCTCTAAGCATCCGGGAGGTAAGAGAGCTGCCCTACAGCTGGATCTAGATTTGTCTGGTTTCAATAATCTTATGAATTCTTCATACTAATAGAGGAACACCTTCAGTATGGGCAAGATAAAAATAGCACTTACAGAGACAGTGATTAGTTAATCTCCATCTCTGGAAGCATTAAAACACTGCAGGTATTTTGCTTGGCTCATTAATCCCTGCTTGGGTGATAGAGGGCTCTCACTTTATGCAATGTCTTTACATTAATGGCACCATAAGGTATTTCTTTTAACATCTAAATGCTCTATTATGAAATGGCATTGAGATGCTGGACAGAGCTAGAACTGGGGCTTTCAGCACAGCTGAAACACATGGGTTGGGAATACTTTCTTATCCAAGCAACATTTGTTTCACAGGAGCAATAAACCCCATCAGAGCAGCATGGGTTTTGTGGGGTTGCCAAGTTTTGTGTGGTTCAGCCCCAGGGAAGGCACTGCCCAGCAGGTCCTACCACGTACAGCAAACAGCATTCATGGCAAGTAGAAAAACCACATGGTATTTATTTCCACCACACGACAAGCATTTCAGGGATACATACAGTAGTCCAGTGGCATATACAAACGTATGACTGAGACAGCGGCACACTCAAGCCAGAGCACCCTGTTCCAGTTCATTTCTGCTGACTGCTTTTCTCAGCTGGTACTCAGAAGCTCCCGCTCCCAGTAGTAGAGTCCACCCTCCAGACACAGTAAGCAGTTCAACAAGATATTGTGCACGGAGCATCAGTAGTGAAGAAACCCAGAATGTTCGTTTTTACTCACGTGCCCGACCGTAGCAGTTTGGTTTCACACAAGAAACTCAGTGCCTGCAGTTCGAGCACAGTGTTTATCTCAGGACACTAGCCATTGAGAAGAACAGTTGATTGCACCACAGATAACAAGCAACACCTCGTGTCTAGCATGGAACATGTCCCCAGAGGGATTTTCGCTTTGCTACGTGATCCACCGCAGAGCAGATGATGTTTGGAACGTATCACTGGTCATGCTAAGACGTTAACAGCAATGAGATGGGTCAAGTCAGAGGTCAGTCGTCTTCCCAACACCACCCAGCTGGATCCACTTCACTTCTGCTCCTCGCACTGGCCTGATCGTGTGTCACAAGGGTTTGTGAATCACAGCCACACCTGTTGTAAGGATGGACAGATAGACAGTTATCACAGGAGAAGCTCCTGGGCTGTGATGTGGTTAAGGTCATCCTGCAAAGCCAAAGACCAACAGCAAGCCAGCAGAGAGGTGACTACCGTATCTATGAAAGCTTCCTCTGCTGAAAACAACACAGACCATACCAAAATGTAAGACCAAAGCTTCAAGAGGGACACCCCTCAGGTTTATGAATGACCCCAGCCATTACCAGCTCTCCCACTGACTATTTACCTGCATAACTTCTCCCCGTGCTCATGCTGGTTGGTAATAACGTCCACTTGTCCGTGATGGGGTTGTAGTATTCCACCGAGGCCAAATTGCAGGAACCATCATCTCCTCCCACCACGTAGAGGAGCCCATTCACCGCACACACACCTCAAAGCAGAGCGCAGATGGTTAGATACGGACTAACTCATCCCCCACAGCACATCACCTGCTATGTTCTGATTCATCCCCCAGCAGATCCCTCATCTTCCACTTTCACAGCTTACAACACTGATCACTTACATCACTAGCACATTAGTCACATTAAAGCCCACAGAGATAACTGAACCAAACACCACAGAACAGCTTATTGTGGTTACCTGCATTTCTTCTACACATATTCATGTCTGCTACTTGCTTCCACGTGTTTGTTCCTGGATCATAGACTTCCACACTCTTCCTTACTAAGGGACCATCATGCCCTCCGGTAGCATACAGCAGCCCACTGAGAACACCAACACCTGCCAAACAGAGCCCAGCATCAGCCAAGTGTACAGGGCAAAGGGTTGCATGGCCCTGGTTCTTCTATTGAGTATTGCCTTGGCCTCTCCAAGGCATATCCAAAACATGGGCCACATGCACCTCAAGATCATCCACATGTGGTCAACTCTTCACCCATGAGTGGCACCATAGCAGACCTGCACGGTAACTCCTGGCAGATGTCCTGTCTTCCAGGGCTGTGCCCCTTCTCAGGTAGATGTTATCTGAGATCAGGTCTAGTCCCACAACATTTAACTGCCTTTATTCCACCTCTTCGGACTGACTCGTTCTTTCTTCCCTTTGCATCCCTGACCACTGCATCCCACCCCACTTTGTTTCCATCTGCCTGCTCTTTTCTGCCATGGGGCCCTTTGTTTTTAGCCTGATTCCTAATTCCAGGTTTGGGATCACCCGAGAGGGCTGAGGACACCGTCCTCACCTCCACTAGATGTCAGCATCGGGATGGCAATGTCAGCACTGAGCACCGGTTCAGTGATGGAGGGGTACAATAAACACGTGCTGCAGCATCACTGGGGATGAGTGGCACCAGGCTGTCCCCTCCCCACAGACTCCTGGAGGGGCATCTGGTGACAACCACCACCTGAGGAACTCAGCTTTCAGGTTGGAAACAGGGAATTGCGATGCTATCTGGCAGGTGAGTACAAATTCCCTAACACTGGACTTGCCACATGAGGATGTACTCACAAAGCAGCACTCAGTGTTTCAGACAATGACTGTTCACTAAATCCATTTACAGGCACAAACTGTTTTGCTGTGCTTCAACATGCTGTCAACAACACCAGATATTCATTCTGCTCTCCTATAAGCTCACACTGAGCTTGGTTTAAGCATTGAGCAGATACTAAAAACCTCTTCAACCACATTCAAACCAGCAGTGTGTGACCGTATTTGCCTCTCCTGGAGTTATGGAAAAGGTCTTAGAGTGAGGAAAGAGAGACCATGTGTGGAGAGCAGCCTCTCAGCTGCCCAGCTCAGAAAGGAATTCCCACCACAGCTTAACCTGCAGGGTCATCTCTGCCCCCAGGCTTGGCCATCTCCAGGTAACTGCTGCTTTAGATGCTGTACAATGAGAACTCCAAGCCTTGACGTCAGGAAGGACCCTCTGCACACACTGAGCTACAGGGCCATACATATCTGAAGATCATTTTAAATGCAATGGATAAACACTTTTATCTCTTTCAGACAGGAAAAGCCACAGAGATGAAAAGTGCTTACCTAGTCTAACATCACATAGTAAATAAGAAACCATCAAGATTAGAATATAATTTAACCTGTCTTTTTTAACCTGTCTTCTCCTTTAATAACCAATTCTTGCCAGCAAAAGGGACACTAAAAACTAACTCAGCAGGGACAATCTGAGATGATTTCTGTTACCTTGGCTAGATCAGCACACCACCCAGTGCAGATGTGCTTTGTGCTGCAAAGCACCCACCGGATGCTTGCAGAGAAGATCCAAAAGGAAAACCCATCTGACATCCTGCAAAGGATAGGAGAGAAGGAGGTGCAGCTTGGCTTTCCAGTCCCCAGCTGAGCATGCAGCTGGCACTTTGGAAAGCTGACTTTTAGCTTACAAGTGAGCTGCATCTGTTAGCAAGGCCACTTGGAAACACTGAACATCATTGCATTAATCGAGAAATTCATTTCAATTTGGTAAGATTTTAACCAAGTCAGGAGAGCAGCACACATCTTCCATGCAATTATGGTTTTTCCTCTCATGGTAAAAGGATGGAAATAACAGGTTGCACTTGCCAGCCCTGTAATGCCAAAACACCCTTCTCATTCCTTTCCATGAGCAGAGGAGAACCCGGTGACCATCTGCCCTTAAGAACACATCTTGGAGCCAGTACCTGCCCCGCTGCGCCGAGTGCTCATGTCAGCTACGTAGGTCCATTCGTTGGTGGCCGGGTTGTACTGCTCGACGGTACTAAGGCACTGACGGGATGCTCCATCATATCCCCCCACAGCATAGAGCTTCCCTGGAAGAGACACACGTTGGCATCAGCACTACGGCTACAACTGATGTCTGTTACCATCACGCCTCACAGCTCCAGGTGAGGACAGATCCTGGTTGACAGAAGCCCTGGGAGATGTGCTTAAACCTGCTGGGATGCCTGGGGAACATCCTAGCGGAAGGATCTGAAGCAGACTCACATGACTGTATTTAAATCTATTCAAGCTGTCAACTAAGACAAAGAAACAACATAACAACAGCTTAATTAGAAGTCAAAAGCCCAGAGGCTTTTCCAAATGACTTGTTGGCCCAGGAGAAGAGGTAACATCAAAGCTGATCGAGCATTTCCTCCTGCTCAGGCAAGGTGTGCTGTCAAAGGTCGATACTGTACATTAATTACTGTATCACATGAGCAATAAATATGCAACAGCCTCATATGTTAATCTAATACCTGCACAGAAACCTAGACGTGATCTTGAAGAACCTGGGCCAAATCCAAAGCAACCAATGCTGCTAGCACAGCTGAGGCCAGCTGGTGCACTTGTGCCAAGTGATCACAACACAGAAGATAACCCTCACAGCATGGGATATTTGTCCCTCCCTACCCTCAGCTCACGGAAAGCTGAATAACATACAACTAATGTGCTTCTCTGGCCTCAATCAGGTATCATGGAACTACTACACCATATGTGAAAACAAGGCTGATGCTTCACCATGTCCTCTTTTCACAGGCCTTTCTGATACTCTCGCCTTGCCTCCATGTATCGTCTATCAGCTTGTTTTGCATTTAGGCAGTAAACTCCTTGGGCAGAGGAGTTTCTTTGTGCTTCTTTGCCACAGTACCTAGCACAAAGGTGTTCTGGTTCCAAACCAGGCCCCATTACAACAAACAACCATTAACAAAGTTCAACAAATAGGTAGGGAAATTCTAACACCATTTTTTGTACAAAACCCACGAATAAGACCAATTTTCAAGCCATATCAGCAGAGCCTGGCCACAAATGAGCTATGCAATTCTTCGCATACACACAAGACTCCCACCAGCAGTTATCATCTACAGTCCTACACTTTTGCATCCTCCTCTTTCCTTGATCTTTACAAGCTCCAAGAACAGGCCAGCTCTTTTCTTTCTCCCTCGGACCCACTTGCAGCCTCCTCACACTGTGATCATGAGGAGAGGTCTGCAAGGACCAGGTCTGTGACTGTGCTCCTTCTGCATCTTCCTGTCTCTTTAAACATTTCAAACTCTTATTTGTGCTGTTGGTTCAACCCACCTGGTGTTAGTCAACGAATCAAGGCAAGAGCGCCAGACCAGGCAAGCCAAGATAAAGCTCCCAGGCTGGCATCAAGTATGAGATGTTTTCAGTACCCACAGATATTGGATCAATCTTTATGACATTCAGATGAACAAGCTGCAGCTTGTTCCCTACAACACGATCAACTCTTTTCCCCATCACATGCTCTCATTATTTTTTCTCATGGACCCCAACATGTGCAACACTTATTTGCACTTTCAAACAAAGCAAAGGGAAAGGATTTCATGTTTCCAGTAGAAAACGTGTCCATAGAAACACATCTCTCACAAACACACATGGTATTTGTTCTGCATTGAAATCCTTTCAGCAAATCCCACTGACTCCCAGCAGCCCAGCACTTCACTCATGGGCCAATTTTGAAGGAGATGCTTGTGAAATAAACATGAAAATTTAGCACCACCACCACTATTTACTCTGACTTTATCTCCCTCCCTCTTCTCACATATACACATAAGCACACTTCAGGTATTCCCCATGCAAACAGGTCAAACCAAACCACTTCAAAGTGCATTTATAGCAAGGCTCTTGCCAGCAGGTGCTCTGCACTGTACTAATTGCAAACTGGTATATGCCATGTTAAAGACAAGGTCAAAACCCCTTTCACTTGCTTCAGAAGCAATTGTGTTAAAGGAAGAAAAGGTTCCTACTTAAGCCTGTTCTTTCCTGATGGCACAAACACCACCATTAGCCTTCACCAGCCAGAAGCTGCCCAGGAACAATAAGGATTGAAAGAATCCTGCACACACCTAATGGCATTCACAGGAGGCATGGGCTGGGCTGATATGGGTCTGAGGCTCTTGGAAAGCTACACATGATTTTTCATAAAGATAAAGAGGAGAATGGGAAAAGCTGCAGCAATTACGTCATATAAAATAAATCTTTACCAACAAGCCTAGAGAACAGTCCCTGCAGTCCCCTCCTATTGCACTCAACCTCTCAGGCTTCCCTTTGAGACAGTAACATTTGCTTGATGGACATGGCTGCTGATTTTCTTACCCTCCACAACTCCAACTCCAACACTGCTTCTTCTTGTGTTCATGGGAGCCACAAAAAACCACTCATTGGTTTTATAGCTATAGGCCTCAACTGATGCCAGACCTAGTTAAAAAGGGGATACACAGGTTTTCTAATTAAAAAAAAAGAGAAGAAAAAAAGATTGGTGTTGCACTTTCATCTGCCTTCCACCTCCTCCCAAGCCCCTAATTCCCCCCACACTCCTGCAACCCAATCCTCTAATCCCTCGTCTTTCATGCTGGCACCAGTGTGCCAACGCCACTTCAGCAGCAGGAAATACTGTTACCCCATGGCCCCTACAATGTGCTGGGGACATCAAGGTGGAGCAGAGTCCAGATACCAAGCCCAGAAGTCCTCCATCCTTTGGAGCATTACAAAATGTCCATGCAGAGGTTTAGAAACTCCCCCCAAACCCTGTTGCAACTGTGCTCATCACCAGCCAAGATAATTTAGGGCTTAACCGAGTGGCAAAGCTCTAGAGCAGAGGCAGAGGTGTGAATCTAAACATGCAGTTATGCCAAGAAGAATCCCAGCCACACATACCCCACAAGGTGCCACACTGGCATTTCTATGTGTTGCTATGAAAAATATAACTGAAACAAGGAAAAATCCCTTTTCAGTCCAGAAAAAGAATATTCACACAGAGAACGAGACTGAAGGAGCTGTATCACTAAAGAACACTAGAGTGAGATTCCCTGCCACTACTGATGGGTCAGAACATGCACGTGGTTAGTTACAACATGCAGTAAACCCAATCCCTGGCTCTTTCTCTACAAATCATAGAGGAAGGGGGCAGGAATCTCATTAAAGCTCTGCAGGGGTCTCTGAACACATCTGTCAGGTCAGGCACTGCCTGGTTTTTGCCCCATCACCTACCAGTGCTGCCATCAAAGCCGCCCACTGCATACAGGAGGTCATTGAGCACAGCTGCGCCTAAGGTGCTTCGTCTTTCCTGCATGCTGGCTATGGATGTCCACTGGTCCTTCACGCCATCGTACACATCAACCGTCCGTACCCTTAAAGAGCCATTGAAGCCCCCGACAGCATAAACATTGCCAGCCATAAACACCACACCTGAGAAAAGAGGAAAGGGACTTTACAGAGGTTTTACAAACAGTTTGGGAAGTGAGCGTCATCAGACCTCTGTCAGAGTGCGGAAGAAAGGAGGAGGAGCAGAACCTTGGCATGTCCTTGGCCTCTTCTGCAGGTTAAGAGCATTGGAACCTAGTATGACAAAACATGTGTCATATGGAAGGTGAAATGCACATAAATAAATGGCATCATAAGGCACAGATGCATTTCACACCTGAATGAGTGATTTTCTGGGGCACAGAGAACACCAGATGGTGATCCACATTCACAGCCCTGTCAGACGTCTTCAGGGGAACACTCTCAACTTACAAATCTCCTCCATCACCCACTCCTCAGCACTCAGAGGGACTGACTCAGCGCCTTTGATTTTCACTAGGAAACCAGCAAGGAAAGCTGGTTGAAAGGGATGACTGAGAGACCTCTATCCAGTGCTGAAGAGCTGCACTAGGAAAACAAAGAAGGTTGCAGCAAAAGTTCTCATTACCTGCTCTGCATCTCCGGGAGGGAAGCTCAGCAACCTGATCCCACCGCTCCTCCTCAAAATCATAGCACTCCACACTGCGAATGGCTTTGGGTGCTTGCCCACCCACTACGATCATCACCTGGAGAGGGAAGATGAGAAGCTAAAAACATGCTGCAGGCCTACTACAAGCTTCTGCAGCAGTACCTATTTCAGTCAGTTCTATTCCAAAAGGGAAAAAGCTATCACCAATTTAATGCACCCTAAATACAGCAGCCCCATTAAACCTTCTTTACCATTTCCAGTGTGGGCAACGTGCACTATTTCCCTATGAAACACAAAACCCCTTTGGCATCATGGTACATGCAAGGCTCCCTGCACAAGTATTCTTAAGTGAAGCAGATCCCAGTGTAATTCCCACAGCCAGCCCAGGGTTTAGTCATTACCTCTATGGTGGTGCTAAAAACAATCAATGCCACTTAGCAAATAAAGCCTGACAGCTGTATTGCCACCTGCAGGGAGATGACACTCGAGGGAATCACCAGGACTATTAAGACCCAGGGTGCTGGGCTGCTGAAGGAAGTGATTTGTCAGCTTCATTAAAGGCTTCTGGTTGCAATATGTACTGATACAAATCCAGTAATTAAGCCCCAAATTCATTATATACAGAGAAGATCTATGTGAAGGTGACCAAAGACCATCTCTGGAATGAAAGAACTACTCTGGTCAGGCTAAAGGTTCACCCAGCCCCAGACTCCATTCCCAGCACTGGCAAATGAGGACACTGGTGGAAAAGTGAGAAGATGTGGACAGTATGCAGTGTGGTTCTTCCCAAATCTGCCCTGTCATGTCTGCATGACAGGGACAAACTCCCCATGGACTTGCTGACTTGCAGTGGTCCCAGGAACCTGCACTCAGCATTGCTGCCGAGCTCCAGCTGGGCACTGCAACCCAACCAACCACACATCCAAATCACCTGCACCTACAGATTGACCTGCACTTTGTTCCGAACACATTTCCTTCAACCTTCCATGGCTATCAAGAGGGAGCATTGGCTCCCCTTATCTCAGCACATCAGGAAGAGCAAACACTACTCAAGACAATCTGATTTTTACCAGGCCAGTAAGCTAGAAGCAAGATAACAGGGCTTTAGATATAGTCAAAGAGTAGATGGGAAACTGGCTTTAGCCTCTGTGAGACAGCTGTGAGTAGCTGAGGGGATAAAAGACTGCCACTCGAGATCACCCAGGTAACAAGCTCAACTCCAGCCTGGGCTGTTGTAAAGCACAGAGCTAGACAGCAATTTGAAGCATGTGAAGAGCCTGAAAATAGCAGCTGTTTGATCTACAACGATGAGAACGTGACATTAGGAAGCAAAGTGAGCCTAAATTAGCAGCCTGACTCTGAGTTGTGTAACAGCCTTCCATGGAAAGCTTCGTGTGATTACAGAATTAATGCTAATCCCCCACCAGCAGGACCAACAGACCACAGGAAAGTCTCTCAGTAACAGGACTGCTGAAGAGCATCACCTTCTCTTTCTTTACAGCTAAGAAGAAGGGAGAAGAGACCTGCAGACGGTTTGGGTTTGTACTCATAGGTCATGCTGTAGATGTTGAGAACCTCTGAACTCATCAGTTCACTGTTTGCTTTATTCTTAGCTACTTTAGTCCTTGAACAAGGGTCACAACAGCCCTTCACAATACCCCCAAAGCTATGTTCTACCAACTTCATCTCAGCACCAGCAAGCAGACAGCAGAAAAAACATGCCAGCACTCTGCAGAAGCACAATTTCTCAGTGGACAGTCCAACATCTAAACATCTTCGCCCCTCATTACACAGATCTCATACACTATCTCACAAACCCAATCTGTGCTTAGAAAAACAATATACTGTGGGTTTGATGTCTTACAATCTCCGAAATGCTTATTAATAACTTCAGCAACAGTCTGTTGAGAGACATTGTGCCAATCTGTGCTTATGTCTGGGGCACAGGGACAACAGCTTCTGTTGTCATTTTTAATTCACTAATAAAGCAGTGGACAGAGCATCACACATGTGCAGTCATTGCAGGGAATAACAAGGATTATTTATTCAGTAGCTGCTTTGAGTCTATTAAAATCTGCTTCAGACTTCCTGCCCACGGGCCTGGGTGCTGTTGTTCCCTGCTTTTCTGGCTTCTGATTATGGATATGGGAAAAGGGAAGACACGTACGGTGACCCTCCTCAGCAGGGCTCCACAACAGTGCTACAAGCCAGCAGAAACCTCGAGCAACCCTTTGAGCACTACAGGCAGCTGCTCCACGGGTCAGTGATTCCCAAGCCACTCACAAAACCGGCTGTGGCTGACAACCTGTTTGAGGAGCAGCCCTTTGCCCCTGAGAGCAGAGATATTGCTTCTCCTGAGGCTTTAACTCAGTTCATCCAACTCAATTATATATCCTTGGTGGGCACAGGCAGTACCAGAAGAGGGAGTAAAACACTTCAAAGGATTATCATGGAGTTAGTGAGATGTAAGAATGCCAGCTCCTTTCAAAGACAGAAAATGCCACCAGTAACAGTGTGAGGTGACAGGAAGCAACAAACCCATCTTACCTTTGGCAGGCTAACGGGAGTCCTCGGCTTTGTTCTGGGATTCTTGATCAGTTGCCTTTGATCCAGAGGAAGCAAATGATATTTCATGGCCTCGATAAGGAAGTCTTTACAGGTATTGTTATTCTTGATTAAAGCTTCTTCTTCAACTGTCTGAGAACATGCACACACATGAAAGATCATTTAAACTGAGGTACCTGGTAGCACAGGTCACAGGGAGACTTCCACCTCTTCCCAAAGAAACACAAGCAGTAAATCCAAGCTTCAGTATCACTCACAAGCAGCAATGCTCCCTCAATTTTACCACCCTTTGCCAAGCATTTATCTCCACAGAGGAGAATTCACCAGGAATCTGGGTACAAAAACAGGTGATTTCTTTTATTTGAGCCAGAATTTTTAAGGGGAGGCAATACTTTTTTCTCAATCAGAACATGTCAAAGAGAGGAAAAAAACCCCACAATGGGTTCATTTTATTTCAACTCTTGGTTGTTTAGACACACGATAAAAGCACAGTAGCCAAAGAGCCTGTATGCCAACCCCTTCTTTGGGGATTTGCAGCTCATTATTAAGGCCCAGATCCCACGAATTAACTTGCCAAGAACAATCTCTAAGTCCAACTACATCAGTGAGCATCTCACCTGCACTCACACAACCCATCTCTAAGCACAGAGCACACCTTAGGCCAAAATTACCACACAATGTGTTCTCATCAAGCTAAATTCACCTGTGCATTAGGGGAACACCACCAGCTTGGTGCAGAATCCCAAGATATTAACTTCTAAATGCTTCTACCAAGAGAGGCAGGAGCTCCACTCTCAGCACTGTCACATTAACTACAAGGTTTCTGCACACACACATTGATTTCAGAGTTCACCCCGTTTTCCTTTTATTCCTCTGTTTACTGTCTCAGCCACATGCCGAATTACCCATCTCAGACACAAACTGCCAAGCCATTGATTGAGGAGCTACCAGCAGCTTAAGTGCAAGTATTAGAGTTATTAGACTAACCTGTACGAGATAATCTCTGGGCAAAAGGGGCAGGCGAACGTGTTCCATCAGTTTAGCCATGTGCTCTAAGCGAGATTCCTTCTCATAGTTTATCCAGGAAATAACTGCTTCAAATACCTACACAGATGAAGCACAATTAAACAGAGAAGAGAGAACAGGCTGCACAGTCACCTACACAAACCCAAAAGCAACGAGATTTTAAGTTACCAAGGGAAGGAGGTGCAAGATCTCTATCAAACAGATGAAAAAGTCATGACTGTGAACTGAGCACAAGCATCACGGCAGTGAAGGGGTGAGCTGACTGTGTGTAGTAATGAGCAACTTCATATCTTGATGTGCTGCACCACTCTCAGAGTTAAGCGTGTGTCCAGGACAATCATACACCTCTTGGACATTAGTACTGGGAGGCAGCCAGGAAACTTAATGAGCCTGTTGACATTTGCACTGAACATTATTCATTAAATCAGCCACAACAATTACTCCTGATAACAGAGAGCTCCCCTCCCAAAGGAGTCTGGCCACACGGTAAAACACTACACTCACCATCATATTTAATCACTGCACCAGTTTTGTCCCCCTACCCAACACCCAAGAAGCCTTCAGGACAAGTTCTCCATGCACAGAAAAGCCCCTGCCTCTGGGCTGGATGCATTTCACTGCTAAAAGTACTCAGGAAACAAGGGCACGCTGGAGTTCTGGTCTGAACCAAAAGGTAGTTGTACTCCCAGATCCAACCGGTTCAGATAAGCATCCAAACTTGGACTCCGTGATCACAAACAACCCCATGCAGCAGGAGCCACGCAGAGCCCTGTGCAGTGAACAGACAGAAGTGTCCTACATGGGCTCCTGCATGAATATGCATGTGTTTATGTAACTATGAGCCTCACTCCTTCCAGAAGAAAGGCCTAAAAATGTCACTGGGAGCAGGAAAGGCTTCCTAAAACATCCAGTGAAGCAAGGAGAGGGGCTGCTGCAGCCTTGATGCTGCACAACAGGACCTGGATCATTGCACTGGGGGTTCCCCATAGAGAATTAAATTCTAACCCTTAACTCATATCAAGAGGCAAAATTCCCTCCCCACGTGCTCTCATTACCTGGTTACTGATGGGGGGGCTGAGCACAGCCCACTCCTGTAGGACCCCCAGAAAAGCACTGCTGGCTCTTCAAGCCCAGCACACTCAGCAAGCACCCTTGGTTCAGCTTCCCTCTGGCTGACAGATCAGGCCAATATGCACAGGTATTTTTCCCCTTTCTTTCCATCCCTCCCATCCCTCCCCAAGAAACCATTTTGTTTGGTCCAAGGTCAGTAATTTGACAAAATCAACCAGCACTGAGGGCATCATCTCCTGGTCCCCAGTTGCTGATGGCAAATGCAGTCTGCAGGAGGCAGCATCCTCCCACAGAGGAGAGGCTGAGCAGAAAGGGGTTCTTCCTTATACACTTTAAAGAAGCAGTAAAGCACCAGCCTCATTTCCTATGCCAACAAATGCTCCTGCTGAACTGTTTGGAATTCAGGACACTGCGATGAGCAACAGGGATCTGTGTAATCAAAGCCCAGCAACTGCAGAGGAAAATAACTACTGCAGAACCTATTCCAAAATGAAAACAAACAAACCATTTCACTTTGGCTACGAGGCATTTAAAGCAGAAACCACATTGTTGTGAGATTTTTAATTGCAGATCAGTGTGGAAGGAGCATAAAAGCCAATGTTCAGCCAGCAAACAGGCTTTTCATTAACCTCTTCTGTATAAATGCTGAGCCACAGAACAGGGCACGGACTGGGATGTACCCAGTTACAGACCAAGATGACATGGAACAAGTCTTAAAGGAAGGTAGAGCAAATGTGCACAAGGAATAAACTGCTTTCTCAGTGAGGGAGGCTGCTCCTGGGTTAGGCACACACTGATGTTACCCAGCTAAAAATAACACAGATTTGTAAAAAAATCAGATTCTGGCATCTTCCATTGGCTCCAATTCCTAATTTTATGAGAAGGGGGTGGAAAAAATCTTAATCCAAGACAGCAATATGTCTATTTAAAGGCCACATCTGTTTCCACTACTGCTGTGCCCACTGCAGACCCCAAGCAGCTGCTGCTCCCCCAGGACATGGGGTTTTCCAGCCGTGCAAGACCCACTGCCAGGCTGGGATGGGAGCAAGCAGCTTCCCACCTGGCTTCATTAAGAGGCATGGGCTGGGTTAGTGCCTGGAGTAGTCTCAAGCTTGGGAGAAGCAGATTTCCCACTCTATAGAAACTTAAAAGCCTGGAATACCCCCTTTCTGCACAATAGTTAAGCAAACAGCAAGGCCAGATGTTGTCCCAGTCTTTTCAGCCAAAAATCCAGCTGTTAGATATTCCCAGGAGGACTGAACTGTGCATCAGATTCTACAGCATGAGACGATGAGTCAGTTGCTAAAGTCTGTGTTAAATCTCCAATCCAAATACCCCAACCCTTTAAAAAATGTCTTTTATCACTGTACTCAGTTGGCAGGAGCCCTTTCCCAAGCGCTGAAGCCCTTCCTTTTCACACACCATTAACAAATAGGAATAAACACCATTTTCTGTAGTTTTTCCTTGCTTGTGTACACTGCTATACTGAACGAGCCAATCAGGTCAGGTGCAGAAAGCACTGATAAAGCTGTCTTCAGAGTACTCAGCTAGAGCAAAAAGAGCAGGCAGGCACCAAAATAGAGCTGTGCCCTGGGCTGAAAGGGCCTGTGCTGCTGCAGAGGCTGGCAACAGCAAGGGGGAGAGAAAGGAGGATAACCTCTGAGTGACAGGAAAACGTCATCAATTCACAATTAACATGGATTGCTGCGGTAGCAGAGAGTTTTTGTAGTCCTGATGGACTAGGGATACAAGTATGCCAAAATTTGTGCAGATAAAGAATATATGTCATCAGGACAATTGGTATTAGTTGAGGGTGCCAGAGGAAGGGGAGAACACACAAGCTCTTGGGCACATAAGGCTTAAAGCATTTTAAGGGCAGTACTTCCCTCCGTGGCCTCCTTGCCTTCTGGCCCTGGCAGGACTCGGCTATAGCACTTCCAATGACCCAGAGACGGCAAGGCTCTGGCTCACAGGCTGCAGTACCTGTGAGAGACATGGTAAGGACAGGAACCAGAAAGCCTCTTGTGGAATCTGGCTGTGGCAATTTAGCTCCCAGATGTTTAAAGTATTAATCTACGTACATCTTGTTGCTTAAAATCGTTGTCTATCCATCACATGTGCACATGTATACACATAGATAAGTGTATATGTACAGATATACACACACATACACCTTTATATATATATCTATTTATTTTTTATAGTACATACCATACACTAGCAGATAGGAAGAATAAAGGTCAGGGAAACTGCTTGTCTCTTGTGAAGCTAAAATAAAACAGCATCCTATGATTCTGCCCTCAATTTTCAGCACTTCTTTGGACTCCAGCACATATTTCATGTTTATGGTCCAATCTCATTCTCTGCCTCCCTCCTGTTATTCATACCTGTTGTTTTGAACATGCAGCTTTACGCTTACATCTCCTTCCAGTGCCTTGCATTCTCAGCTTTTACAATCAGCTAAAGAAATACTGGGTTTGATTGTATAAAGCTCAGATGAGGGAGGGGTACTTTGATTTCTCTGGGCACAAGGCCAATAAAAGCTTTTTAACAATGCTGCACAGCACTGGGAAGACTGGTTACCAAACCTGCACTTCCCTTTGCATCCTGCTTGGCTCATTGGCAAAACGATTCTGCTTTGAGTTCATGCCATTTGTTTTTTCCCTTTTTGGTCCTGCCTCTGTGGCACCTCACAGCATCCCACCACGACATACACCAGTTGAAATATGCTCCTGAAGGCTCTGACTTTGCTGGCTCAGGATGTGAATTAAACATCTCTGCACTTGCCCTCATGTAGTGTGGGTTTTCTGGCAAGCTTTGTGGTCCCTATGGGCCCAAGCATCTTGCCTGCTCCCGGAGGGGCTGAGCAGGATGGGTGCACACACTATCAAGCACACCCAGGTCCAGCCTCATCCCACAGGCATCCAACAAGGGTCCTAAAGATACAAGCCCCATAATCCTCAAGCTCTCCGGTAGCCTCCCACAAGAGTCCATCTCCTCACAGTGACAATCTGGAGGTGAGCTGAAGGGCTCGAGGCACACACCTCTCTCAGAAACCTGCTACAGGTCATGCAAGAAGCCCACTGAAGAGAAAGGGGCTGGACCTGGTGTTCACCAAGTGCTGTAAGCACTGGGCACCCTCCTTCCCAGGACTACATGCTACCCAAGGTGTGCTGAACGTTTCAACCTGAAAATAACATCAAACTGTGCGCTTTTTCTCCCATCTTCCATCAAAAATACTGATGATGCTAGAAAAATGTTTCCTTCGTTCCCTCTTGGTTGGCCTCCTTTAGTTCTGCCTGATATGCAACAGAAGCCAATATCGCTCCCTGGCCTAATGAAGTTCACCTTTTTGGGGGGTTTTACAAGCAGGTAACAAGAGATTTACACAGGAGCAGATGGGAGGTTCCTAGTTTTCCAGAGAGGGAAGGTATTTTGTTCTGGCCCCCAGGGCTTCTGGAAGTGATAGGGATCTGAAAATCATTACTTCCCTCAAAGAACAAGCAAGTGAAGGTCATTTTTATGTGGGTTCAGGATTCTTATTATTTTTAGTTTTCCTTTCCATGCAGTCTGTTGGAAAATAGCCCCTGTTATGTTAGCATAACATGAGAACAGTTCCTGGTGTAAGTGTAGAAGCTTTCAGGCATTCTTACATTGAGTGTTGCTGTACAATTTACTGTACCTTTTCTTCAGAGGAGACTGTGAGCTTGTCACTTGATATTAAACTGCAAACCTGGTCCAGACTAAGGCTAAGAAATTCTTCTCCCAGCATCACCTCAGGGAAGTGCTGCTCTGTTCAACAAACGAGAAGGGGGGACAGAAAATTATAATGAAATCCATGTTCCAAGTCAACAGAAGGATGACAGCATCCAGAGAGCTGCTGCTGTCACTGCTCTGAGCACCAGAGACAAGCAACACGCTGCGGCTGCATGGTGGAACAGGAACACAAAACAGCCTCAGAGCAGGTTAAAGAAATGGGATGTTATTGCAAGTAACACAAGCCCCAGGAGACACTTTCACAAATGACACGAGATGGGAACTGAGCTTTGTGCAAAGCCACCAGGTACCTTCCAAGTACCTTTGCAAAGTGACAAATAGGATTTAGAAGTGGTAGTTGAGAAGAGATGATGCCTTTCTGAAGTAGCACATAACCCGGCCACATTGAAATTCAGTTCTTGCCCACTTCCATGAGTTAAACAGAATTAGACCTGCTCAAAACTGGATGAGAGACTCCAGGTCCTTCGTATTTGTAGGTATTCAAAGGAAAGGCCATCTTTAACATGAATTAGCCAAAGTTTGGTGTATACACTCAGCAACAAATAGTGAAAGATCCCAGGGTATCCCGCTAAAACATGTTTGGAATCAGTATCTCCTTCCACCTTTCACTTCTTTCCCCCAAATGTGTAAATTCAACCTTTCTCCTGCTCCAAACCCCCAGCACCCATCTTCCCCAGCAGCTCTTCCTTTCCACTGAAGTCTGAAACTGAACAAATCCCTTTTTCTCCCTTTTGGTTTCTAAATCCCTACATGCTGCAACTTTGGGAGCCACAAAATACGCATCACTGCTTATAATCCCAAACCGGGAGAATTATGACAGATTGCAATAGAGGTCCCAAAAAGGCTCATTGAGTCTGGCAAGCTTCCCATCTAGCCAAAGGGCACAAGGAAAGAATTGCTTCTAAAAAGCAATTTCCAGGTTAAAAAAGAAAATCACTGCTAGGCATTGCAGTCAGTTTTAGCTATGCATGAATGTGTTACATATACAGGCCAATTTAATCTCACCTGCCATTAGCTGAGTCGCTTTTCTCTTCGGTTGAAATGCAGAAACATGAACCTCAGACACACAGTCTGAAAATGCTTTTCTAAAGCTTTAATCCTTCAGCTTCGAGAAGCTCAGGCTCATTTATCCAAAGAGCTCCCTCAGCAGCAAGATCTGCCTCTAGTTTTCACATCTGCAAAGCCTTTAACCTGCCAAAAAGCAGCACCACATGGACACAAGCTGGCATGAGAGGAGCTCTTTGGAGATCACACCTGAACAACTCCTCACCAGCGCTGGTACTGAGGGCATTTGGGCTTGCCCAGCCATGAACCCCACTTGGTCAGATGGGGGCCAACACATCACAGATAAGCCAAAGGCTCTGACTAAAAATATCAGTATCTGGATGAAGTTTAACACTCTATTATGCTGGAAATAAGACCTGATGAAGTATTCTGGCCTTAAGTGTTTGAGAAGCAGGAAATGCTCCCCACACAGTAAGCTGGATGCACTCTTGACTTCTGGACACAATCTCCTGTTCATTCTGGACCAGCATCTGGCAGTAGAAAGACATCTGATCTCTTGTTATTAGTTGGAAGCAAGTAAAAATATTTACTGATTTTAATACAGTAACTGGTGCCTGCATCAAGGAGGCTCCTCCACCTCCTCAAGTTATCCAGTGGCCAGAACTAAGCATTTCTCAAGACACTGAGCTCATGCACACACGGACCCTTGAGCGTGGGGACTTCTGTCTTGGTTTAACTCTGTTACATAAACAACAGTGAAAAGAATTTTAATGGCATTTTTATTAATAGAGTTCCATTAACATTACATGGGCTGTTGTACTAACTGGGACTTATGAAGGCCAATAAAACAACAAAGCAGACTTTCTAATTGCCAAACAACCAAATAAATATACAGTGAATGCGCTGCTTGTTGGGTTAAAGATTACAGGGCCTGGAAGCCAGGATAATGAGATATTACAAGCAAGCCTTTATACAATTAACCATTCCTTCCAGGGTACCTTTTCCTCCAGGGGATAATACAGCCTGAGCAGCTGAAAAGGTTTTACTTTTATTTGCAGCAGAAGAGGGGAGGACTTGGTGGGTGTGTTTTTATTCCACTGAGCCCACTTATGGTCCCATTAAGGACAAAACCGGGCCAAGAAACACGCTGCAGGTGCTTGGGGACTGCAGGTGTATTTTCCCCTATTCAAACAGACAGAAAAGCAGAAAACAAACCAGCTTCTCCCAAGCAGAGGTCAAGGGCAGCTCTGCCAGAGGAGACTGGGAAGTGCTGGGAATTAAGAGCATGGGGCTGCTTGGAAGAGCTTTGTATTGACAACAGAGGAGAAATGCTGAAAGCCGCTGCCTGCATGTACTTACTGCAGACAAGCACATCCACTGTCAAGGAAACAAGAGCCTATCCACCCCCCGGGGTAAGTGCCATTGCTCCACAGATCAGAGGCTCAGAATACAGGGAAATTTCAGCTGAGTGCTCCTGCTTCCAGGTGGGATTTCACTCTGCCCAATGCCATTTACTCCTAGAATGCACAAATCCCCAGCACTGCCTACTTTTCTCACAGGGAGGACACCAGCATGCCAACACTGCTGTTGAATAGGCAGCCAAAGAGCTTACTAGGAACATAGTAGGGAACTATTTTGTAGGCTGGGATCCAGAGGCTCAGTGGGGTTTTTACCTCCTTAGGTGCTCCCATGCGACCAAACCACATTCCACAACTTGCAGCATCACAGAAAGCTACAAGTCTACAGCCCAATAAAGAATTCCCTTCCCTGTTCTCATAGCAGAAGCATGAAGAAACCAACCAGGATGTGCTGATCCTGCTCAACCTACAAGCTGTTGTACCTAGAAGCAGGTTTAACTCAATAAACAGACAACCTTCCCCTCACCTGCATAGGCATTTGCCTGCTGCAGCAGTTCGGTGCACGCGTGCACATCGGCAAACGCTCGGATTCCAAGGCAGTTTGTGGGATGCAGCTGGGACTGAAGAAAATCACAGCAGTTTTTCCTGACATCCATCAATTGCAATAAACTAGCAGCTGGCAACAAAACCTGCGAGGCAAGAAAGGGGAATGAGAGTTAGCAACAAAGAGAGCTTGATTCACAGATTGCACAAATTAGATGCAATTCCCTGTCAGATGGGGACACATCTCTGTAGGGTACAAGAAGGAAGGTTAAAGTCTTCACAGCATCCGTATGCAAAAGATCCCCATCCATGCTCTGAGAGATGGAAACAGCTATCCCAGCTGGGCTAAAAGCAGAGCTCTTCTCACTTCTCCCCACAAGACCTCGAGGCAGGTAAAGGGAGGATAAGATGCAAGCAACCACGGATGCACCTGAATTCCTGGCTTTGCTGCAAGCAGGTCCTGCACACAGATATTATAATATATATTTGATGCATTACCATCACATCCAAAGCCCAGAGCAGCCCAGCACCCTTCAAGACCTTCAACTTTCTTATTTCCAACAAAACCCTATTGGCTTGTGAGCAGGGTGCCCAAACTGCTATTTAAGAGATCAAGCAGGTTTTGGTGACAGCAAAGCTTTCAGGGGCCAACTATTCAAATCAACAGCCATCTTTTTCACTCACACTAAACACTGTGGACACTTGTGGCTCACAACTGCATCTGAAAATGAGGTACTGCTTTGTATCTACAAAACTGAGTGCCAAAAAGGGAGCCAGAAGTGCATCAGGAACGTGGTAGCTGCTGGAAAAAACACCTTTGAGGTCAGTGAGCAGGGCAGGAAGTAGAAAATACAGTTGGTCGGGATGTTCCAGCCTGTGACATCAGCTACTTCCTTTCTTATGTTGTACAGCGACTGCAGACGTGTCTTATCCCAGCTCTCCTATGGCTCTGGTTGCTTCACACATGTCCTTCCAACCGGGCATCTGTGCTCACCATCTGAGCACAGACACCCGGAAAATGATTCCTGACTCAAGTGTCTGTTAAACAAAACAAGCAGGTTACAAGCATTCACCTCCTGGGTCCCCATGGCAGGGAAGGGAAGAAGAGATCCCCTTCCCTGCCCCTGCTCACGTGCCCCACAGCACTGTTCCGCATCAAGGCAGGATGCTCACAACCTGCCCCAAGTCCTTCCTCAGCCCCTGACTCATTCCAGCTCCAGAGCAGCTGTACAGTGTCTGCCTGCTGCCAAGCAGCCACCCCAAGGGGCAGCAATAAAACCAGAAGAGAAATCCATTAATCTGGGAGCCTGTTTTGGCCAGAGCTGCTTGATGCCACGGGGAGATTAGTGTGTGGGTTTGATCAAATCAAGATAGCAATGCTCTAGTAGTCTGGAAACCTAGCTGTGAACCACTTTCTATCTGCCTGAACCATCTCTATATCAGCAGAAAGGTGAGCGCTTGAGCTGTATAAGGGCTGTGGATGAAGAAGTCAGGCTCTCTGCAAACCACCTCTGGCCACATACCAGGCAGAGCTTCCCCTGTGCAATCCCTGTCCGTCCAGGGTGCATGCCTGAAAATCCAGGAGGCCGCTTACATCGAGTGTTTTGGGATATTGCCTCTAAACCAGGCAGCTGTGATGGTACCACCATCACTAATACCCATGTGCTACAGCCCCTTGGACGTCCTAGTACTGCTATTACAGCCTCATGCTGGCTTGAGAGGGCAGCGTAGAAGGAGCCTTACACCACTGCAGTTACTAGGAAAGGGTGTTATAATACTTTTCAGAAGTAGGCTATTTAAATAGCTCATTGAGAGATGAGTGGATCTTCTCTTTCTTACTTCCCAGCTGCACATCTCACCACTCCTCTTGTTTTTACCAGGGAAGGCGAAAAGCAAGCAAAGGATATCCGCTAGCACAAAGTCTGTTTCCTTTAGAAATAACAAGAGGAAATGCCCTGCCTAAACATGCAGCAGGACCAAACTGCAACGCCATGAATATTCCTGCAAGTTACTCACTTGGGTCTGGATTTGGCTCTTAACATTTGAACTCCAAGCACTGTTCATGATTTACAGGGAGCTGGCTTCTCTACCAGATCAGCACCTGCACCAAAACCCAATCAGCATCTGAAACTATGCCAAAATTATCTGCTATTACTACTGAGATTGACTTCTTTGCTAAATAAGTTATGTCCAGAACCATATCTACAGGGGGTGTGTATATATATATATGAATATATATATATTTCCCACAACCATCTAGTTCACCCAGTGTGCTCTCTCGCTCTGCAGACTGTACCCATCTCAAGTTTGACACAACACTGGCTGTGCAAACAAATGCTTTTGTGAACCTTTGATGTCTCTGAACTAGAAACATCTTTCATCCAAAAGTGTTGCTATGAAGTTCATCCAATAGGCAGGGCATTAACACTGGACTTCAGACTGGAGTTAGTTCCAGGTAACCTTAGCCAAAAGTTAACTCGCCCCATTCCTCCTATGCGAAACCGGGAAAGGAGCATCCTTGCCTTGGGAGCATCCCCAAGGCAGGGGATGTACTAAAGAAGGCTTAAAAGCAGCTTTGAAAATCTAGTCAAATTGGAAGGCAAATGAAAAGTAGTGGCTGTGATGTCAGCAGCACATCCAGAGCCACAGCTGGGACTGCACATCTGTCCAAACAGGGTCACATATCCCAAGCACCTTCCCAAGGGAATCTGTGACCAGAGAAACAAGCACAATTTGTGTTTGCAGGGCAGGTTAAATACTCAGTTTTACATGAACAGCTCTAAACTGCACAAGCAGCAGAGAGAAAATGACACATTACTGTGGTGTGGCTTTTCAGTGCAAGGAAGGCAATCGGGCTGTATCACTCCCCAGCTGCTACCAGGCAGTGCAGAGGGTAAATAACGATGATGCTCCTTGATTGCTCCACCTGGAGTGAAACAGCCCAGGCAGAAGCATGTGTGACAGATCAGGCACAAAACCTCCCCAGGAGCAGGCATGAGAAGGACAAGGGGTACAGAGGTGAGAGAGCAGGGGAGCCACTGGCAGGTTCCTCCTGACCTGCCTTCTCCATCTTCACCGCACAGAGCAGACAGAACATCACTTGATTAAACAGTGGGATAAAACTGGAGACGCATCCGTCAGGCACAGCACAATCCTCTGGTGCCACATCCACAAGTTTCTCATCTTTCTCTTAGGGCAATCCAATTTAAAAGACCTTCCACAGGTCTAGGACAGCCCAATCCAACTGCTGTAACACCTCGGAGAAGTCAGTGCTGCTGCTGAGCAGAGCTCTCCAGCAGTCCAAGAGGACAGTGCATGGCAAAGAGCTTTTGCTCCAGGGAGGACAATTCATTGCACCTCCTATAGCTGAGCTGGAAGGCACTCTACCTCATCCTGGGCTTGCACCTACTATAGTTGCAGCTTTTGGAGTGAACTGACCCACTTATCCACTTTATCATCCAAACTCCATCTGCCACAGACACTCTCCTTCCTTGTTGTGAAGTCCCTAGGGAAAGCTGAGGTGCAGAAGCACGCTTCTGAAAAGGAAATGCTACAGCTTCTAGCAAAGCTTTTTCCTCCTTTCTCAAGCCATTTTTCATCACAATTACTACGTCTGCAGAGCTGGCAGTTTCAATATCTGTTTCCTCCAGACAGCTGATTTCAGATTTCATTCCGTCTACATAAGCCATGTCTCCAGTTGTGGTAATGCACAAGGACACATCACACACGTGGTATGCTGCACCTCATTCCTAAGGATTTCACTGCGGAATCAGGGTAATCAGGCCTTTTCCCAGGGAATCATTACAACCCCAGTGGCAGTGGCTTTCCTAACTGGGAGGATAATTCTCAGGCTGCCTGCAGGTAATTAAGGAACATCAGTAAGGAGGGATGGGATGCCCTGAGGAGGGTATTCACTCTCTACACCCAGAGATACAAGTGTCTTCACAGGATAAGAGGGTTCCCCTTCACTCAGCTACTCACTGAGCTGGCAGGTTTGATAGGAGCATCAGAAAGCAAGCAGCAATACAGCCAGCTCAGCTGCAAAATCAAGACCTAACTGAAAAGTTCAAGGGACAGGTATGTGACAAGAGCCAGCTACTCCGTACAGGTAGGGAGCAGGAGCATGTGCATACAGGTTCAACTGAAGCCAACCAGGGCTGCACATGAGCATCTGTGAACTTCCCCAAGTCGCTCCCTTCAGTTTTCCTCCTTCCAAATAAATTCATCCAGCTCAAATGAATGATATCAAATGAATGCTATCTTGTCACTCATCTGAACCTTTACAACCAGCCTTGATGTGAGGTGCAACGGAAGAGGAGCAACAGAAGGCAGCAGTGAAAGAAATCCAGGAAGAGTTTTTCTGAGGCTACACATGACTGCAATGGAAGACAGAAGTCCTTCCTCTGCTCCACACCTTCCAAACACGTGGGAGGTTAAATCCCAAATGTGTGTTCAGAGGCAAAACACTGCTCGGCACAGAATCCTCTCTATCACTCATCATCCCTCAGCCCTCCTACTGCAATCTATACTGCCTTGAAATCCCACTCTAAAAATGAGGTTCCAATGCATAAAAAGCAGGTTTCTCCCCCACATACCCCCTAATGGGGTTAAAAGAGGGTATCTGCTGCCATGTGGGCTCAGTGCTCTCCTTCAAGGAGCCAAGGTGGACTGAAAATCCCCCTTTACATTCACACTTGGGGCATCCTGTTGAGGAGGAATTGCATGAACCCCTCCAGTAATTCACTACCCAGACGATGACTGGAACTGACTGGACAGCTTGGCCCCTTGTACACACATCCTTCCTTACTTAAAAACAAAAAGCTTGCTTTGTGCAATGAAATTATAATCAGCTACAAAAATACATGCTTAGAGAAAGAGTCTCACTTCCTGAGCACTGTTTCAGACTTATAAAGGCAAAAAAACCCTAGGTTTCTATTAGAAAAGAAACAACAAAAATACTGTAAAGATGCTTCTTGTGAAGTGCTGGGCGCTGCTCAGCACTGGAGCATGCTTGGGAGCACTCATTGCTGCACTCCATGTTCCTTCACTGCTCATCTTTTTCTCATTTCAATTCTGCTCTCGCTCTGGTTTGCTCCCTTGACAAGATACTGCCTTTTATGCATTCACAAGGCTGGGTAGCTCGGCTGCATCTGCTCAGCTAACGCCATTTAGCAATCGCTTTCTTGTAGTTTCTACAATGAAATTACCTGGCACCTACATCCAGAAACTGATTCTTCCAGCTGCTGAGGAAGCCTGGAGAATCCCTTTAAAAATGCCCCCTTGCCCTGCTAGAAATCAGTGTGCATGACACGGCAAGAGCAGACCTCAAGAGATACCTGCTCAGAAAACAAAGTCTCGCCATGCTCAAGCACTGCTGAAGCAATGCAAAGAGGCACTACAGAGGCATCTTTCCAGCATGGAATTCTGTTCAGGGATAAAACACCCAGAGACAGGATGGAAATTTCTCTTTAAACTATTGGTTTCATCACCAAAAATATATTAAATTCCATCAAACATCTGCAGCATGGACATTTTTAACACTTCATAAAATTTGAACTAGTCAGTTAATCTTGTATGACATCAGCTTCATCCCTTAGCTCCCACGGATTAATTTACCTCCAGCCTAAAAAGTTACTCACAGAGTAGTCATTTAAATAAATCCTGCAGTAAAAGGACCTACTTTACTATATTGGGCAAAAAATGTTATGCCTAAACCTTAGTCTCCACGAAACTCGCATTGTTTTATCTTACTGTCTGAGAGATGAAAGCCAGAATATAGACAGGGCTCGTACTTTAACTCTTTGTCATCCCTAAGAAACAGCAGGCAGGCTTTGGTTAGGTTTTACTAGGATAGATAGCTTTCCAGTTGTTCAGCAAAGGTCACATCTGGATTGCTTCAAAGACCTTCTGGGCAGAGCAATGCTGCCAGCACAGAGCAGGACTGGGCTCTGCAGCCTGCTCCAGCTCACACAGCACTGCTTATACCAGGTAAAGCTGCACTCAAGCACTGAAATGCTCCCATGGGAAAGCAGCCAGAGCACGTGTAGTCACTTCAAGTGAGCTTCATTCAGCAAACCAACTGGGGCCAGCTGAGCAGATGGCACATCCCACGTGCTGCGTGGGTGCTCCTGGGCCACCTAACAACCAGCAGCACGGAAGGAAGCATACGTTTCAGAAAGCACATGGATAGAGTCTGCACGTTTCCCACAGAAAAACAGACCAGCTTCAGAGTGTGTAAATGACATTTTTAACTCCAGTAATGGAAGAGCCCAGAGGTCCAAGGAACAATATCCCAGTTCCCCATCAAAGTAATGTACCTCAGCTCCTGATGACCCTGGCTATACACTGTAATTAAGCATGGGCTACACAGCAGAAAGCTAGTCCAAGTGACCCACACAGTTGTGTATGAACCTCAGCTTCTTTGGTGTAATGGCACCCTGGAAGTCTCCTTGCTGCTCGTCCTCAGCCTCATCGTAGGGCAAACAGAGTCTGCAGTTCTTCCAATGTGACAACATTGGATTAAGAGTGTGCCAGAAAGTCAAGTCTGTAAAACTGGAGGGTGCAAGGGGCAAGAAAAGCACCAACAGACTTAGGTCATGAGAGATGGCCCAGGGCTTAGGCTGCAGAGTGGAAATAGCTCAGGGGTTTGTCCAAGTTCTGCAGGAGCAACAGATCAGCAAGAACCTGAACCCTCCCTGAAGGACTAGAGCAGAAGAGCATGTCCCAGCAACAACCTTATTTCAAGCAGAGCCAGTCTAATTTTGCCATGTTAATTAGGTCAACAGAATGCAATATTGTTCATCTCTCCAGCATCACTGACACTGACCAGCATCCAAGTGACAGAGATCCAAACTGCCACTTGCAAACAAAGACCAACCAAAAAGCACATCCCCACACGGGTACCCAGCATCCTTTTCAGAAATCAGTGCCTAAGCACACAGCCGTTTTCTTACCACAAATACAAGCAGAGTCAAAGAAAAAGCTTTACCAGCAGCCACAGCCATGTGATGCAGCAAAACGCTCTCTTCCTGAGCATCCCACTTTACCTGTAGGCTGCCTTTCAATTACTCTTTCCACTTCTGGACAAATATTTACGTCAAAGAAATCCAAGACTGAGTACACACACATACACCAAAGAAAAAAGGAAGAATGCCTCATCTGAACAGTGTGTCTGACTCAAAGCTCTGCCAAACAACTCCAGCTACCCAGAAGGATTCAAAAACTAACAGCCAGATTCCTCTGCCATGACCTTAGAGCAGCATTTGACTCACTGCTTGTTTGAGTGCGTTCTGACCTTCAACAGACTGACCCACAAGTCAGCACAGCTTCTTGGAAGGCAAATGCCTGCTCTTGTTATAAAAGCTCAATACAAAAGCTAAATGCAACATGACTTAAGCGTGGGGAAAGCAGCAAAGTGCCTCAAGACTAAACAGAGGCTTGAAGTAGCTCTTTCCAAGCTCAACCTTCTGCTTTCTACAGCTGAAGAGATCACTCACCCCCGAAAGGACCTGTGCCTTTGAGTTTCAAGCTTTACACTTGGGTCTCCATGCTGAACCAGACCTACCTGCACGTTCTCCTCCGTGACCTCAATCTCAGCAGTGTAGATGTAGTCAATGAGCTTCCGCAGGGTCTGCCCATCAACGTCTTTAATCTCAATCTTCTTGGCTTTACTTTCAGACATGTCTCCTGAAATTCATTGCAAAAGGACAGTTATAGCTTGCTTTGCAGGACCTCTGTGCAAAACTATGCTCCCCATACCAGCACATTGTCCTGGTATCTGACTGAAAGACACTGGCACTATCTACGACCATCATAGGACAGCCAGTGAGATTCCCTGAAGCTTCCTAATGCCACCTAAAAAGCACCTCAACATTTGAAGACACTAGTGTAAAATAAGTCAATAAATGCAACGAGCTCTTGCCAGAAAAAAGCCTGCCATGGCTCACCTGCATTCAAACACACGTATATATAGATGGGTAGATAAGCTGCAACAGCTAAATTAGGGTGCTTTGAGGTATACCCTACAATAAAAGCAAGGCAGCGTTAGTCTCTTTCTTTAGAAAGAGCACCAAGCACACACGCTAGCAGTTACACCCAGTGCATTGCAAGCTCCTCTCCTAATCTACCCTGCTGTAACCTGTCCACGCAGTTACACCCCACACAAAGCATCTCTGCAGGAAGCTGTACTTCTCACCTCTCGCCTTCCCAGCCTCGCACCTCAGAGGCAAAGCAGCCTTTGGAGCCAAACTGCACCATTCCTCCAAATATACGACTTAAAATATGTAACTAGCACAGAACTAGAGCAATAATTTCCCCTATGAATATACAAGTAAAACCCCTATCTGTGTAAAAGCCTCTACATGAACCCGTGCTTTATGCACACCTTCCCCATTGCTGTTATGGTCAATGCGCAGCGCAGGCACCATACACGCGTACCCCATGTGTACCAGGAGCACGTCACAGGAACAAAAGCAAACTGTGTGGAGGAGGAGAAGGAGCTCACCAGGGCCCCTCCAGCATCCACGCACACAGTGACCTCACCCAGGTTTTAATCACCGAGATCTTGAGGAGCCGCAGAGAAGAAAGAACCAACTCCCAAGCAGAAAGAAACGGGGAAGTGAAAGAACAAAGCTAAACAAAGGAGAGCACGAAGCAATGTCAACTCTCAACCCTGGCCATGAATAATCACTACTCTGAGAAACCCGGTGACTCACTGCTGCTGCGGGATTAAGAGGAAAAGTAGTTCCTGCAGCCGATGGGAGAGGTAATTACAGCCCACATCTCAGCACAGTGACGTGGCCAGGGCACATTAAGTGCACAGCAGTCAGATGCTAAAGGGGGTCCAAGCCTGAGCAAAATCTGGATCCTGGAAACTGACCTTTGCAGGCTTCACTTACGCCAATAAGGAGGTAAATAACAGGAGTGGGGTCAAGAGCGTAAGTATTGGCAGAGCCAACAAACGTCCCCAGGGAAATGTTGACTGAAATAATATTTGCCCCAAATTCAATTTTTTAAATTAAACACTAAAAAGTCATCCAGAGAAGTTCACGAATACCAATGCACAAGTACAAAGGGATGAGTGACCTACATCTGGGAGGCCTTCAAAGCAGGTAGGACTCTCGTTGATAAAACGCCATCGCCTTCACTCCCTTCCTTAACTCCCCAAAAAACCCAAAATATCTCCAGAGATGAGAGGGGGCTTCTGAGAACAGACCAGTCCCCATCAGCCCCCATGGAGCTGGAGGTGCCTGTGGAGCACCCACCTTGGGACACATGGAGCAGCTGGAGCCCCATCACCAGGACAGGGCAGGCTTGGAGCATGCAGAGACCAACACAGAAACAGCCTGGAGGGACCGATCCGATAACATCATCTGTCTTTGCAGTGTTCATGTGATACAGGCAACAAAAATAAAGGCTGTGTGGGCTCCCACACCCACCAGCAAGCTGCTGGTCCTGCATGCTAACAGCCTCCTCTGCTCTGGTAACAGCCCTGCACACCATGAGGAAAGGGAGTCTCGTGTGCTGGGCTTCATGGTTGGATGGGACCCAGCCCCTCCAGCCACACTGGTGTGATCAAGTGCCTGCCACTTGCCTGAGGGAGCTGTTCTGGGCATGTCTGTAATGCTGTGGAGTAAGGAAGAACCTGAAGACAGAAGTGAAACAAGGTAGGGGTCGGTGCTCAACAGGAGCAGGCAACAAGCTGACCCTTCTTCAGACACAGACCTAAGGCAAATGCAGTCTCTGAAGCATGGCTGAGGGCAGCGAAACGGTGGGTCCATTTGGGCATCTTATCCTACATCCCTTCAGAAAATAGCACCCACACTTTAAAACCCACCCTGCAGGATACCTCACCTCAAGACTCAAGCCTTACCTGACACCTCAATTACAGAGTAATTCAAGGCACTAGCACCATCTCCTACATAAGGGCTGCCCTGCACCAGGCACTGCACAGACCCTGACCCCACACTGCTGTGGGCAGGCAGACACGAGGAGCAGGGTAGGAGGGAGCAAAGCAGGTAAACAGGCAGAGTGGCTCCAAACAGACCCCCTTTAGGGGACAGACTCTGCAGACACCAGCCCCTCGTGAAGACAAAGCCTTCATGCATCACCCTCAACACCCTGCACTGCTTTCTCCATTCCCCTCTGCTCACGAGGGCAGGGGGAGCACAGAGCTCTCCTGCCTTGTCACAAGATAAACCACACTCTAAACCACAGCAGCCCGCAGTGCCTTGTTTACCTTGCCCAGCAGCCTGCCCTGCCTCCCACGGACTGTGCTCCAGAGGCTTCCCTGCTTTCTGCAGCTTTGGTTGTTCCCTAAGTCAGAGATATGCTGAAGGAGCACACGAGTGCACTGGATAACAAAACCAAAGGCTCTCATGCATGGCACGAGCGCTCTGAAGCAGCACACAAGACCTACAAGGGAGGTTTCTGCTTCCTCCTTCTGAACTGCTGTAGCTCCCCTGGGTATCTCACAGGAGCACCCCTGAAGTATCTGTTGTCCTTTCTGAAATGACTGGGTTTTCTTCTAAATGGACAGAAATTACTGTCCCAAACCATCCCCAGAGAATGGTGCCAGTGAGGAGCTGCCACCATCCAAAACGCTCTTAGAAAGCTTGTATGGGAAGGGACACTCAAGGAGAAGTGCTGGGTGCTATCTCTCCTTCAGCAGTCTAAGATACAAATGGAATAAGTGCCTGCTTATCAGACTTTCCAAAGCTATTTCAAGGTGGAATAGCTAACCAAAGGACACTAGATAGTTTAGGAAAGACCCCCAAGGTTATGAGTCCCAAGTCAGGCCACTTACAGGGACAGCGCATGTAGAGCAAGCATCAGGCAGAGGGATGAGTTGAAGGTCTCAGTTTGTTTCTCACTGTTCATAGCTTTACAGTGACCACTCACTACCATGCAGCTGTTGGCATTGCCAGGGGACCCCCCAGCTCCATGTGCCCCCACAAACTGGCTCCTCTGGTGTGGACAGAGCGTGCACAAGCAGCTCCTGCCCATCCTGCAAACACCCATGTGGTGTGGCTGCCCCAAGCCACTGTTTTGCTTGGCTGATGCGCGGAAACAAACCCCAACCAACCAAGCCCTGACAACCAACCACTACTCACTCAAGCTGTGACTTTATAACATCCCCCTCCGGAGAGTGAACCACCACACAACCGGCAGAACATCGTGCATTCTGTCTTTGCAACAGAGATTCACACCTTAGAAACCTGGGACCAGACTAAAAGCAAAGGGAGAACTGGTCTTTGTGTGACCCACTGCCCCCAGGGACCGGGTCTCACCCAGTCCAGGGCTGCTGCAGAGCCAGCCACATGACGGTGGTTAGCTGATTACTGTTTAACTCACAGCGTGAGGGATTACACAGTCTGGAGAATTCCTACACGGAAACATGAGCAGCCCCACACCACCACCTTCCCAATAGGGTGACCTCTAAGGAGCAGAGGGGTTTGACAATCATTTTCTTTCCTAAACTTCTCATCAGGAAGGAGCATCACAAGCACTCGCAGCTCCAGCTCCTCCTCAAGGTGCCCTGCACCAACAGTCGCCTCTGAGCAGCATTTGCTTTAAGGGACCTTAAAGCTCATCCAGTTCCAACCCCGTCACAGGCAGGGACACCTTCCACTAGAGCAGCTTGCCCCAAGCCTCATCCAACCTGGCCTTGGACATTGCCAGGGATGGGGCAACCACAGCTTCTCTGGGCACCCTGTGCCAGCGCCTCAGCACCCGAAACACTGTGCTCTGCATCCAGCAAAGCAAATAAACTAAGGTCTAACTAATCACAAGGCTTTTAAAAAGGAAGAAGCGACTCCCAGACTGCAAGCAAAGGGCCATGAAACAGGCACAAAACTCAAACCTCACGGTAACAACCATCCCATGGAGTGTACAAGCGTTTCCTTGTATTTGGTTAAGTCGGGTCCTGGAAAGGAGTGCAACAAAAAGGAAGGATGCTAGAATGATTTAAATAAGCTGGTCCCTGCCCTGCTTCGGCACTAGCATGGCTTTTCTCACTGCCTCATCTGGGCACTGTCTCCAAAGTAACCTGCTATAGGGATCAGGGGATCAGAGCAAGAATTTTGTCCTTCTCTTCCCTTCACACTGAAGTTGCGCTACCAAAATATATCAGGCTGCCAAAACACACTGGGATCCAGAGAACAACGGTGTTATTTTGGGCAGCAGCAAACAGTGCCATGGGAGATTAAACATCTGCGACTGCAAATCAGCATCAGCAGGGCTGAGCCTTCAAACTACGACTTGTGTGCCAGCTACTCCTTTGATGTGCACCATGAGCATTTAGGGCACTGCACACGTGCTTGACGTTAATGATGTGTTTTCATGACCCGAGGTCTTGTTAAGGAGTGAAAAACCAACCCAAAAAGCAGTGGGCCAAACCTCATACTAACCTTCCTGTGACTCACATGCTACCTACTCACCCCACACCCATGCACCATGCCTCAAGGAATTAGTCAAGGATGACCAGCATCACCCAGCGAGTGCAGCAAGCTGCAGACCTAACCATATACTACGTCTTCCTTAAGAAAACCCTTTCCCTGCAGGCCATGCCTACTGCCCATGCTCAGCTCCTGTCAGAGACACAGCCAGAAGCCCCTGGGTTGGCAATGGCCCATTAAACCCCAGTACAGTGTGTGGTGTCAAGAAGAGTACCTGTAAACATCGCACAGAAGTAAGGGCTGCAGGCCGCAAGCACCACGCGGTGCGCTTCCATCTCCACGGTTTCAGCCACAATCACCACATCACACAGGAGCCGTTTGCTGGAAGAACACCAGGAAAGACAAAGGTCATTTCAGAACTGCTGGGCAGGCAGAAAGCTACATCAGTGCAGCCTGAAAAAGCAAGCAGAAGACCTGCTGTTACAGACAAGGCACCTGAGCTTCTGCCAAATCCCAGTAGAAGGTCCCCTAATCCTTCAGCTATCAGCTCTTCTCAGTGTTTGCACGCAAAGCAAAGCCTGAATCCTTCAGTGCTGCAGCCCTGCCTGTGGTTCTGCTTTTCCCAGAACAAAATAAATCGACCTGGAAGCCAAACCATACATGCTGCCCAAAGAATGGATGGGGAAGGGGCCCCTTCCACCCCTCAAACAAGTACGGCTTGGAGAAGGCACAGAAAAGCCTAAGAGTTTGGGGCACTACCTGAAGCCATGCTCTACTACATCTATAAGACAAGAAACAGCCATGCAAGTGCTTTCATCTTTCCACAGGGGAAAGACAGAGTGGGAACATGAGTTATTTCTGCACTTCCTCACACGTTTGTCCCTGAAGAACATGACCACCAAAACATCTCCTGGCACCGGCCGCTGCAGAGGCTGCCTCAGTGAGATGTCAGTCACTGGTGTTTATCCATGGGCCTGAGGACTTGGTTTACCACATGAATTAGTCTGGGATTAAAGAGTCACCGGGATAAAGAACTGGTTTCCAAACAGAAACCAAAAAAGTTCTGAGCTCCCCCAGTGACTCCTTGTGCAGCTTTGGTAAAGTCACTTCATTAACTACTGACCTTTTCTGCTACCCCACGTATGTCCTCTGAGGATTCATTAGTTAATGTTTGCACAGGGCTCTGGAGATGCTGACAGCTCCAAGTGCTCAGCCTCCCAGTAAGCTGGTTTAAGATGTGTGAGCATACAAATGCAAAATGAGGGTGCTCTTTTCAAATGTCAAGCCTGAAAAAGGAGCAGGGTCTGTGAAGCTAGATGTTGACTTCTCTTCAGAAATGCTTATCCCCACACTGCACTTTGTCTTTAGGAAACTGCATATCAAATAAACACAGAGCTTCTAATGGACTTGGTATGTTTCCTCTTCTCCATATACTGGAATACATGAATAAAACATCTGTGAAATGGAGGGTTATAGTTGAAAAACAGGAAGAAAGTAGGAACTGGCAGTCTGTGCTCTACATTCACCCCAGTTTGGAAGGGGTCATGACAACGAGGGGAGCCCTTTAACAACATCTTAATGGAGGCTTCCTCATTTCCTTCAGCTTATGCAAACAGTGCTGTGCCTAATTCCTCTTTGGACTGCAGTTATCTAAAGCACCACTCATGAAATTAACTTCATCTACATTTGAAAGCTAAAAATTTCAAGTGAGCAACACAAGTAGCACATGGGAACATGGTTTAAGTGGTGGATTTGGCCGTGCAGGGTTAACAATTGGACTCAACTATCCTAAAGGTCTTTTCCAACCTAAACAGTTCTATGATACTATATAGCAAAGAGATTAAAGGCTTAGCAAGGTTTTCCTAGACCCTCTGTATGAGATTTCTGCATGCATGTGAATGGAGGCACTATTATTCAAGGTAGCTGTTAACACTGTTGGCAGCTTAACAGATCACAACCTCAATACACATACAATAGACATGTTTTACCACTGCTGTATTGCACAAGATCTGGTTAACTACAGGCACTAGGAAATATTGTCCCTCTCCAGCTATTCCCACTACGCTTCCACTAACAAAGGAATAACAGCAGCACAATAGATTCCTGAATATAGCTGCACAAACCTCTATTTTCAGATCCTTTGCTTTCAGGACAAAGAAAGGACTAGAGGGATGCTAATTTAACAAGAAATGCCATACTCCACTCCATGTAATTGTTACAAGGGAAGGATATTTCCATTTTCTGTTCCTAATGCAACCAAGAATCACTGTCAGGCATCTGTGGAAGAAGACTTTCCTAAGCCTTCTCCACACCAGAGACCACATATATGGGGCAACTACTCAATCCACAGAAGAGAGGTGGTTCTTACAGCTCAGATACTTTGAGCGTGCAGGAAGAGTAAAGGGTGTTATCTGCTTTCATCATACCATCTGGATCGTGAGGAGCACATACATCCATGTGTATGACACGTACTTCCCACAGGAATTCTTTAAAACTTGTGTTTCTAAGTCTCTATTTGAATGGTAAAGGACTCAAATGAACTAGTCTGAGAAATGCCCACTGAACTTCCAGGTGGTGCATGGGATAACAACAACCAAGACACAGCTCAGGTTTAACCAATGCCACCAACCACACTGCTGATGCGGTAACAGTGGATCTTGAAGACTCTCCTTGCTGATACTCTCCAGCTCCATCTCCCTGTGCCCATGTAGCTGTGCAGAGACCAAAGGTGCTCTCTTTGAACCAGTATCAGGGGGTTTCAATCTATAGGTGAGAGCTGACATTCCTCCTGACTTGTTGCCTTTTTTACACCCCCTCTTTTGGAGTGCTGAGCCCAGACTGAGCGATGCTGCCAGTTAAAGGGAGTAAGAACATTCATAATCTGTGGTCTGTAATTACACGGAGGTGTCTTAATGTTTGTAATGTGCTATTATTGGTTTTCAGACCATTAGCTAAGAACATCCTTTACAGCTGAATTTGCTGTAAGTAATGGAAAAGACTAAATGAATTGTCATCTGCAAATGAAAGCTATTGCTCAGCTAATGTTTTTGAGCCATAGCTGGCTTCCTTCTGCTGATAGAGAGGTCTGAGATCAGGAAGAACAACCCACCACTATACTTTAGCTGTCTCTTCCTACTTGTTGGTTAATTGCCTACATGCAACCATTAGTGACAAAGATGGCACAGAATATTTGATTGTAAGTCTCCCAGGAGTGTTTCTGTCCCAACAACACGTTTCTGCTAATCCAAAGAGGGTGTCCATTAAGTCAAAAGTGTACCTTCGCAATTCATTCATGACCTTGAACGCTTTTCTCATGTGAGAGGGGTTGACTGTCACTGTGCACTGGTCCTTTGCATCTTCAGCTGTCTCAGAGGATCGGGAACTCTGCTTAATGCTGAAACACGGACAAAAAAAGGAGCAGAAAGTTTGATTCAGTATCATAAAACTGCAGCAGAGGGTATTATACACAGAGATCCTTGGATGTTTGTTAGTCAGCTCAGGTTCACCATATGAAGAGCATCACAAAACACAGCTACTTCTGTATGGATGTTGAAAGCCAACCCAGCCCACATTTCAGTCAGCAGGGAAGAAAAGGAGAAAGTGCCAAACACTTGAGGACAAAGCCCGGCCTCACAGGCTTCGGGCCAGGAAAGCAGTATAAGTTGAAATTCAAGCCAGGACATAATTACCTCACTGGATAGAAAGAGACTTCAGCACTGGGAACTACCAGGGTACCGCGGATACTTTAACATCCATACAGAGAAAGAGAAGTTCAGTCTTTAAAGTCCCATCTGAAAAACGCCAGCACACAATACATGACTTGTATCATCTTCTATAGAGGCAAGTAGAAAAGGACCATAAAAGCTCCCTGCACAGCTTCCCAAGTATTACAGAGCCTCATCCCATTTCCATTTTAGAAATAGGTCTGTTTAGTGCCACTAAAATGTATAGAAGGAATCATTAAACCAGACCTGCCTACCAGAACCACCAGTTATATAGGTAATGTCAAACCAGAGGCACCCAGTTATGCACTGTGCTTAACCAGGCCAACAGGTGCCTAAGGCACATACATGTCCTCATTGCTTTGTTGGGAGCACTGGCTCTATATGGAATTGACATCAGGTCAATATCCCTACCTCCCTGATCTAAGTGTGAGAAATCACTCAGGGCTGAAGGTCTCTGCCTATGGAAACAGCAGCATTTAGAGCCATGTCCCTGCTCTGCCTGCACCCACAGCTCACCCCTCCAACCTGCCAGCAGTCAAATGCAAACAAGGCAAGCCAAGCAAGGCTGTCCATCTCAAAGGCAGACCCCAAGCAAAGGCAGACCTCAGGAGGTAACCCCATTACCACCATGCGCCTGACTAGAGACCTTATTGGGAGTTTTCCTTCCAGTACAGTCTCCCTCAGCTTCACATCTGTCCCTTCCACCCTACCACCTTTTTGGCTGGGCTTGTACCACAATAAAAAAAGGCTGAATCAGGTTAAACCAACAGCCTGGACAGCCCAGCACCATGGTTCTACCAGTGACCAGAAGATGATGTCTGAAGAAGGGTTCAAAGCCAGAGAGCTGTGGAAGAATCTTCCCCCAGAACAGCCTTCCAGCCTCTATGCATGCACATGCACATCTATCCATTTTTCCTTTGAAAAACACACAATTGTTCACAATTTACACCTTCACAGGGTGTGAAGCCCTTGCTGAGCACTAGACCCCATTACCAGCACCGTGTCCCTTGAGACCACACAAAGCTCTTTGCCCCCAGCTGTCCTCAGTGGGTTGCACTGTCCTCCTCCTTAGAAGCAAGCCACTGAATAGCAGCAAAGCTGCACGCAGCTTGAATAGGGGCTTGCAGACTGAGCGGCCTCCAGCTTTGTGCCCGACACAAAGGTTAATGCCAACCAGCAGCCAAGTCCAATTCTTTCACTTTGCTGAGCAAGTGGAGTATTTTCAGTGGTGAGTGAGGCCGCAAGGCTGAGCACAGCATCACTCAGCACATGTCCCGGTGCGGGAGACAACTTCCCAGGCTCTGTTAGAATCATCATCCAATTAGTGTAGCATGGCTGGACTGAAAGGGAAAGAACCTCAGGAAGAAGAGTCCCTCGTGTTAAATGTTCAGTATTCAAGGGACTGCACCAGGCAATGACACAACCAGCTCTTCTATGACTGAGGAAAGCTGAACTCATTCTGCGCCGCATGTATGCCCAGCAACATTCATAAGCACAGAGCAGCAGCAGCACTCAGGTCTGCACATCACAGCAAGAGGACCTCCTTGCTTCAGGGACACCCCAAATTCAGGTACACCTCAGTGTTGGATCTATCAAAAGCCCTGCTTGAAATCTCAGACCAAGTGAAGTATGACCACGGCGTTAAACACCCCAGTGTATACCCTTACGGCATACTGGAGCCAAGGGGTGAAAGATGAAGCTGTGGAAGTACAAGTGACTTCATTGAGCTTTCAGTCTCCAAAGCCAAAGCACGCACAGGAAGCAAACAAAACAACCAAAACAGAAAGAAAATGCACAATAAGAAAGTGAAAGCGAAAGGCAGCAGCAGCAGCAGCAGCAGCAGCGACAGCTCTACCCATCACTGCAGGCAGGACAGCCCCTCCGCCACCAAACACTGCTGCCATCACGGTCAAAGACAGACCTACAGGATCCATAATCAAATGATGCACACAAAAATCACAGGGATTCCTTAACAGTGGAAAGCACACGCTGAGATTTAGGTATTTATTAGCACGCCAGTGCCAGGGACCAAGGATTAGGTTCAAACTTTACCACTGGCAAAAGATGCAATTCAACAGACATGGTAAGTTTCAGTGAACACCAAAGTAAATGTCAGATCAACAAGCCTTCATAAAGCCTCCCCTCCACCACCATCTGTCCAGTTTACACCAATGTGTGTGTATTTTAAAAGCAGAAACCTTGATTCAGAATTCCTGAGAAAGATCAAACAGTTCTTCCTAAAAAGCCTCCTACCAGAGACAGGCTCAGCTCTATTAGCAGGCTGGATTCCCCACCCTGCCACAGGCTCACCATAAGAAAACACTGCGGATTGTCTGGTTAAGAGCTTCGTTCAGAAAACCCCAAGTTATGCTATTTAGAGGTCTTTTTCCATATGACTCATAAAAAACACATCTGAAAAACTAATGGCCAAGAGCCTTTAACTCGTCTCTGAGTTGACTCAGGTTCCACAAAGCTGCCTCCCAGTAATGGGCAGAGGATGAGTTTATCTGGGAGAAAGATTTCACACCCCCAAGCCCGCACTGTCAGAGATCACCAACACGTTTCCAATGGTGAAATGCAAGAACCCAAATGCTGTTATTATATTAATGGAGCAAAGCAGAGGAGGAAAAGGGTCCTCTGATCAAAGGTACCAGCTGACAACACCCAGATGTGCTGGACCAGAGCTCCTGCACCCCATGACCACGGACACTTTCCCCCCAGCACCTTCACATTCGCCTGGCTGATGTCCTACCGCACCAGCAGGACACTCAAGCAAGCTGCCACCAGCAATTTGTTCTATTCCTGGGCTATCCGAGGCCATGCACCGAGCAAATGGACAAATGATTTCATTTCCCTGGGCTAGATGAACATCCTCATTAGGGACACAGCAGGATTCTCCTAAAATAAGCAAAGAGGCTCTGCCTTTCAAAGAGCACCAACCCCACCACCACCTCCTGCACAGCCTTTCAACGCTGTCCCCCAGGAAGAGCCCTGATTTGAGAGTCCCCAGTGAAGCTAATCACTGTTCAAATCATGTTCCTCCTCTCCAACACCCACTAGCAGGGCTCAGCTCACAGCTCCTGCCTGAGCATGGCCACATACCAACCAGCAGAGAGGTATTTTAAACCCCATAACCCGTGGCTGTGCTGCACGCATGTACCAGCTATAAAGTTGGGTTGCCTTAGTTACCAGCAGTAATTACAGATGTCTTTGTAGATTACGTGAAGGAATAAAAGCCTTCCTTAGAGCTAAACTGTCCCCTGGTAAGATTACCGCTGTGCAGAGAGCTGGTATACCGCAGGAACAAAAATCCCAGCTCTGACAAAACCAATCCTACCACTGGCTTTATGCAAGCCAGGAGTTCACCCTAAGGAAGGGGCAGATCTCAAACGTGCCCTCCTTCAGTCCTTCTTACACTGGAGAGACGGTGGGACATGTCCAACCCAGCCTCAGGCTGATCAGCAGCGCTGGGGGGGGTCTCAGAGCTGCTCTCATCACCTGACTGCACAGCACAGGCTGGGATCTGCTCCCCTGTCCCATCACAGGTCCCATCACACTGCCAGGGCTCAGTGACCTGCCCTCTCTCATCACAAGCAATCCAACACCTCCAAGGGCACTTCATCTCCTTGTGTTGGTTTAAAAGCAGACATGTTGACTGTAAATTCTCAAAGCAAATGGAGCTTCTTTGTGGGTTATGTTACAATCATCACCCTTACAATGTTAATGTTCAGTTTCTTAGAGGTTTGACATAGCTCTGATCTATAAATTTGATAGATGTCCAATAGCATCTACTAGCGATCAAAACTTACATGCTTCTACTAAAATAAATGGAGACTAAAATACTTAGTATTTGCAAATGAAAAATCATTTTACCTTAACTGGCACAATTCTCTGTTTAGAATCAATGGCCAAAATCATGGCGCAAATATATTATGCCCAACAGTTTTATTTCTCAGGTCAGGCAGACACAGCAAGAGAGAGGTGTCAGTGTAATGGCTTCTTTATAAAAATCTCAGTTCCTGCATTTGCCTTTAGGTATAAACAGAGACAGTAAAAAAAACATGACTGAAGGAATCCAAAACCTGCGATATTCTCATTAAATGCATGGGAGGAAGCAGAATGGAAAGGATTATGGGCTTTTTAATAGCAATATTATTTGCCTATTTTGTTGACTTTTTTCAGTGCCTCCATCAACACGGAGAGATCGGCTAAGAAAAAACACACAATTGGTACACAACAGCCCCCAAAAAGGATATGCATATCAAAGGAGACCTCAGGGGAAAAACAGACCTCGGGAACTACTGAAGAGAAGTCCTTGCTGACAGTAATGGAAACAACACAAAATAACTCAAATACAAGAATACCATTTGCTTTCAAGGCCAAATATTGTATTTCTCAAACTCAAAGTTAAAATTACAAGCACTTTAATTCTTTAACCCCAAAAGACAGCATTCCAGGGTTGGTTTTTTATTGAAGCTCCAATACATCTTGCACATTCAGAACCAGAATCCCACGCCTTACGTAATTTCTCCGTAAATGAAGGCCCCTATCAGCACAGTATAAGGAAAACAGGATTCTGCAATGATTTCTTGCCAAATGTGGATGGTTTAGGTTAAATTCCCCTTGCCCCCAGCTGCTGCTGCTGCCCACGTGCAGTGACATGGGTACA